TCTAAACCTCCATGTTTAATTAATAAAGTATAATAATTATTTAATCCTTACAGTCCTCACCTGTATATTTAAATTAGCAGGTAAATCAGCTTTTCATATATTATTGCCTTAATCTTCATATGTAAACAAGTCAGGTTATGTTCTACCATGTTCTAGGGCCTCAGTGTTTGAATTAAATATTTTATACCATATAGTCAGGTCTGAATGTTGATGTTTAATGAAGCAGGTAAACTAATAACAGGTGATGCTGTGGGGTCCCATCAGTCGTATTTCAATCAGTCCAGCAGAGCTGTTCATCTGATGTCATCGTGTTTAGTTGAGTCTCGTCCATCCTACATGACAACACGCAGCAGACGGTGCTGTTGGCTGTAACGTCATGTTGTCTCTGCAGACATTACCCCGACGAGCCTCCCCTCTACAGAGACCACTACGATGGCCACGCCTCCTACAACAGTAGCTATGGCAACGGCTACAGCGATGGCAGGAGGACGACCCGGAGGCGCCTGCTGCCGGCCACGCCCACAGGTGAGTGGTATCCCAGAATCCTCTGCTGCGGGTCGCGGCCGCGTGTCCTCGCTGACGTTGGTTTTCGTTGCTCAGGTCGGAAGCCGTCCTTCAACATCCAGTGTCTGAGGCGGCAGGGCAGCAGCGACGACCTGCCCATCCCCGGCACCTACCACCCCACGTCGCCGCCGCGCCGCACACGTGCACAGGTAACGCTGGTCATGTGACCCGTGGAGAGTTTAACTGGATTAAACTGGAGCATCCACCAAACCTGAGGAGGATTTACAACCAAACGTTTTACACTAATCCTGGAAGTAGATCAGATCGTCTGATCATGAGGTTAAATGAGGCTTTTATTTTGTAGAGTAGTGGCTGCACCAGGCTGTGTTCATATCCAGATTTAACGCTATAAAATCCTGAGACCAATCAGAGCCGGTCGAGCAGAAGTTCATCTGAAACTTGACTGTTTGAACGACTTTGAGGATTCAGGTGATAACAGGAAACGTCTTCTCACCTGCAGCAGATGCTCAACAGCTACGAGTCCCGTCACTCCTCCGGCCGCTCCTCGGCGGCGTCCTCGGCGTCCTGGGCGAACCCATGTCCTCGCCGCGGGCGCCTCCTCTACGCGCCGCTGATCCTGGTGGAGGAGGAGGGAAGCCCGCCGTGGGGGGGAGGAGCCGGAGGGGAGGGCAAGAAGGGAGACGCAGGAAGAGGTGAGGACGAGTTAAAGAGTCATCAGAGACCCTCAGACGTCCGGGTTGGATCTGAACAACGGCAGCTGGACTCTAGACGGTGTCAGGTTACAGTCCAACCACATGAAACATGCAGAGTGTCCGTTTGACCCGGTTCTAGTGGTTAACGTGTGAACTGGTGGACGGATGTCCATCTGAAGTGAAAGAATCTAACTAGAATGACCCTAATTACCTGAGGAGGTGATCGACAGCGCCACCTATCAGACACCTACACCGTCTCTCCTCAGGTCGCCCAACCAGCAGTCACATCTCCAGTAATGTAGGTTCCAGGTGAGCTTAGATCCTGAGGCTCTCCACCTGTCAGCCAGAACTGAAGAGTCCAGCTGCCTTTGTTTTTGCAAGTAGCACGTAGCTTAGCTTCATGCTAACACGGAGCAACAAGATGTGTGACGTAACTGAGGTGAAACCCTGAAATGTTGTGTAACTCGCCTCTGTCCTCCACCAGGTGTCAGTGTGACGGGTGCAGCTCCCAGACCGGCCTGGTACGGTGGCCCAGCAGGGACGTCAGGTCGGAAACATCACACACACACACACACACACACAAAGTTCATACGTCCTACAGCAGCCCTCATAAAGTCCACACCGTCCCGTACAGCTGGAGCAGACCATTCAGTCATAAGATGCACCTTAAACTTCATCCCTAACCCAAACCCAGGGATGTGAAGTGAGCTGTCAGCGGCTCAGGCTAGTTTATACTTAACAAAGGAACAAAGGATTGTGGGTCGGACCGGCTGAGCCCGGCAGCTGACATCACAATCCAACCAGATGTAGTCGGGGTTTCTGGAGTGCTGTATTTGATATACTGTGTATTAGGAAGTCCTAAATCTTACTGTGTCGTGTGGAAGTGTGAATATTAGAAGTTCCTGATCTAAACGTGTCATGTGACTGTTGTAGCTCCGCCCCCCTACCGGGCCTACACCACCCTCAGAGTTCCCTCGCAGCTCGGCGCTCAGTTCACGGAGAAGCGAGGATCAGCCGACAGTCTGGTGGAGGCGGTGAGGAAACTGATTGATTACTGATTCCTGATCAGTCCCTGTGCTCGTGGTTCTGAGGTTCATCCTGGTTCTGTTCCGTCTCCAGGTTCTGATCTCGGAGGGCCTCGGGCTTTACGCTCGAGATCCAAAGTTCGTGGCGTTTGCGAAGCGAGAGATCGCCGACGCGTGTCACATGACGGTGGATGAGATGGAGTCCGCCGCCAGCGACCTGCTCGGTTCCGGGAGTCACGGTTTCCTGGGCAACGCTGGCGCCGACCCCGCGGCGCTCTACAGCGACGAGGAGCCAATCAGGACGGGCCGCGATGAGGACGAGCTGGCGGACGAGATGACCTGCGTGACGTCGTTCTGAGCCTCTGGACCAATCAGGGACAGACTGAGGGGGGCGGGGCATCTGTCATCGACAGTTGGACTTTGACGGACAGAACACCTGACCAGTCAGAGAAGGGAGGCGGAGCTTAAAGAGCTAACACTGCTAGCGAGGAGCAGATGAGCGGGCTGTTAGCTTAGCACAGTTCAGACAGAGTTAAACGCTTAGTTGCCCCAAACTGAGCTCCTGCCTGAGAGTTTAGCACTTAGCATCTAGCTAACTAAACCTAAATTAACCGTTGATATCAGCGGCTAGCTTGTGTGGGGATATTTCATACACTCATACAGCTAGCCTAGCGTCGTTAACGATGAAAAAGTAAATTGACAAAGAAACCTTAATGCTGTCTGACACTAATGACGCTAACAGCTAGCTAGCGGCACTGCTAGTGCTACTTGTTGTTAGCTACTGTTGTGCTACTGCTGCTCATGTACGTTTTCACTGTTTGGGTTCAGCACAAGAAATGAAAACATTTATTTATTTTATTTTTCTGATTGATTTTTAAAAATACACGTGTGTTGGATTTTTGGGGGGATTTTATTTTAATAACAAAATGCAGAAGTAAGAACCTGATTTCACTCAAAATGATTTAATAAGAAACAGCTGAAGTACGAGTTGTGTTCATGTGATGAACCCCCGTACGGAAAATAATCGACTCGACACACTGAACCAGAAAAAAAGGGAATTTCTTCTTTCTGTTGGCAAATGAAAACTTGAACTTGTTTTTTCTTCTGATCTCCTTCGAGTGCCGACATCAAACAGTGAAGATGTACAAGAACCGTAACGTTCCAACGTAAACATGGAAACTGATTTCCAACAGGTTGACACTTTACAGTGAACCTCAGACCGAGAACGTCAGAATGATGTGAAAATAATTTTACAATGAACATTTTTGAGATTTTTTTCATAAGATCAATCGTCTAATTTGTCAGAAACTCAAGGAGCAGTTTTACAGCAAACAATAAAACGTTCTAGAAACGTTTTAGTAATGCTGTGACACAGAACGTCACATTCATGTAAAAGCAAACTTTTACAGAACACTTTGTGATGATGATGTTTTAATACGATTCATGTTTTCATTCGTCTGAGAAAGTCTGAATTATAACGTAAAAGTGGAAATTTTCTCTAAAAGTGTTGAAACATTTTTTCAAGTTTTGTCTCATTTGACCTCCGACGTCCAAACGGACTCACCGTCACGTTTTAAAGAAGTGAAGCTTCCAGAGAGAACTGACTGAGTGAACCTGAGGACTGATGAGTGACGGTCTGAGAGAAGGCTTGTCTGTGTCTGATGAACATGATGAACATGATGAACGGGTCAGCGGAGCTTCAACACCAGGCCCGTCGGTCTGCTGTTTCATTAACGTGTGTCTTTATTCTGGTAACTGAACGTGTTGTCTACAAACTACAAACTGAGAAGACTTCTGATCTCTTTTTTTATTTGCCAGTGTTTTTCTTATTCTAGGTGTTTTTTATGGACACAGAGGACTGGATCTTTGTCCGACGGTCCGGTGGTGTTTTTGTCTCGTCTCAACTTTTGTGTTTCCGTTTTCTTTTCATTTAACTTTCTGACGTTTCGGACAGTTTCCCAGCAGCTAAGGGCTTTCTGACTCCACGCCTGGACTTCTCTCCAAACACCTCCTGAGATGTTGAGAACTGCAGCGTTCAGCTGAGGAGCACCTCTGACTGAACCTCCATTTACCTCCAATAAAGACCGAAAACAAGCTGCTGATGGACTCCATGTTTGATCGCACAAACCATCACCTCACACCGACACACACTCACAGCACATGTTTCACAGCATACTGTCATGTTTGTTAGGACCTGACTCAGCAAAAGGAGAAACTCACCAAGGTTCAAAATTAAAGCTCTTATTATTATATAATTTATTAATTTTCCTCCTGCAGCGACTCAATATAATAATAATGATACCAAACCAAAGCCAAGCCGGTGTGGGGTTGTGAGAGAACAGAGTCAGTGGTGTGTGTGTGATGGATGCATGAACTGTGTGTGTGCAAGTGTTGGAAACGTCCTAAACAAAGAAAGCTCACCCAGGACCAGACGGTGTGTCACCAGCAGAGGGCAGCAGAGAGCCGCTAGACCCAGTCAGCAGCACTCTGGGTGTCACAGGTGCTCCTGATTACATCAAACAGAACCAGCAGACGAACCAGAGCCACCCACAGAACCAACAGAACCAGCAGACGAACCAGAACCACCCACAGGACCAGCAGACGAACCAGAACCACTCACAAGATGACCTCAGGGGTCATCACATACTACACTATGACGTTGTTGACCAGCACACCACCTGTAGCGGTCCAGTCTGTCCTCACATCATCGGTACCAGCAGGACCTGTGAAATAATGTAAATATATTTTCTGATTGGGTCACAGGTTTTGTTTATTGAATCTAAATGTATGTCAATAATGTTGGGGGCGTGGCTTCACGTGAACCTGCATTTAGGTGAGTGCAGTGCACGCGCGCAGTCGCGCGTTGCGAAATGACGTCACACGCCGACTTGGTGGCTGTCTGGAGTTGCCGTGGAGTGTGGATTGAACTCGTTGTGGACTTTTGGATTATCTGAAGTTACTGTAGCGGGAGGACGGACCGCTTCACGGAGCTGCTGGGACCGAACCAGCGGTCACGGGACCGAACCAGCGGTCACGGGAGGACTGATGCGCGGAGCCGTGAGTCGATCAGCTGGTGATGGGGTGGGCCACGTGGTCCGAGCTGCTGTGAGGTGGTTCAGGTGTTTATGACCCTGAAGAGCCGTGCAGGTGGTGGAACATCTCTGTGAACTGATTAATGAACTTTACGGACTCTATTGAAAGCCGTGATGTGTTTTGTGCTGTTTGGTGTGTGTGTGTGTTGGGGGGGTCAGAGGCTGGGCTTTGAACCAAACGGATGTATGTGGTTGTCTGTCACTCATCCCTGCTGATAATAGATCCACCTGTTACCTGATCACAGCTGTGACGCTGTGATCGTGGAACTGATCAGTGAGCTACAGACTATTTATTGACATATTATAATGTGACTTTATCTGTTTACCAACATGCTGCACTGCCACATTGTTTACCAACATTATAACTATGACGTTGTGTCAGCTTGGTTCTTGTCCTCCATCACTCTCTGGCATCATATACAGTTTAAACCAGGGGTGTCCAGTCCTGGTCCTGGAGGGCCACAGTCCTGCATGTTCTAGATGTTTCCCTCTGGTTCAGATGATCAGCTCATTATCAAGCTCTGCAGAAGCCTGATAACCATCCTGATCATGTGAATCAGGTGTGTTGTTGGAAGAAGGGAAACATGTAGAACATGCAGGACTGTGGCCCTCCAGGACCAGGACTGGACACCCCTGGTTTAAAGGGTTCATAGTTCTGATGAAACAGAAGCTTTCCTGGTGCAGTAATGACGTTCAGACACAAGGTGGCAGTAAAACCTTCTAGCCCATCGGCAGGAACAGGAACATGAATCTAGATCCTTATTTTGGTTCATTCTGTTCATCTGTATTTAACATCTGAAATAAGAAGCGGCGGTGTCTAACCGGTCTGAATAATTCACTGAAACCCTGTAATCGATCAGAACCTCTGGAGTTCTGAGGTTTAGTCCAACAACGGTGCTTCTGACTTCATCAGATGCTTCATGACAGTGAATCCAGACTCACCTCTGGCTGATGTTTCCTCAGCATCAGAGGAGGTCCAGACTCCAGGTTTGAGCCACCTGATGGAGAATAAAGGTCCAGACACCACTGATCAGAGAATCTGGAGAAGTGGAGAGGGAGGAACCTTCAGCAGCTCAGGTCAGAGCAGATGTTGCTGCAGGAACCTCTGATGAGGTTCTTGAAGGAGTCCAGAGCTAAACGACTTCTTACATCTGCAGATAAGACTTTAAATTAAAAACTTTGCTTTATTGTAATTGTGAACGTAGCCTGAAACAGTTTTGTTCATTTTATAGCACAATGGAAATATTGTGATGATTAATTTCAGTTTAATATAAAACTGTTCTTAAATGTCTCAGTATTGACATAATGCACTGAATCTATATTTAGGACTTCAGTCAGTTAAAGACAACAGACAGAACTCATGATGTGAAGCACATCGAAGGTCGAGCTCAGGTTTAGAATCACGCTGAGAAATGATTTAAGCATCAGCAGATTTCTCACCACTGATAATCTGTGGTTCTGTTCCTGGTGATCAGACTGAACCTCAGGACGCTTTGATTCTGTTTCCAGTGAAGCTGCAGATTTAAACCGTTTAACGCGTCCTTTCTAATAAACGCTGATCGTCTCTCTGACCTTCTGTTTAACCTTTAGCTCTGAACACAGACGTCAGAGACCTGCAGGACAATTAAAGAGATTTACTCGTCTGAGCCTCGAGGCATCGATTCGCTTTCTGCTGCTTCATTACAGAATCACAGCCGATAGGTTTTCCTCCTGCAGCGACTCAATCTGCTTCCTGCTGAGCCGCTCGGATTCACTTCAGCAGGAACATCATGAGATTCTGAATTTCTAAAGACAAACCGACGTCACTTCAATATTCAACATTTAAATTAAGCTGAACAAGTGTCTAGATTTCTCATTTGTCCTGAGACTGACTCACGTGAACCGACGGCGACGTTGCTGCTCCACAGAAAAACTGGAGACGAACAAGATTTGAGTTTGACATTTATCAAAGTTTTATTTGTTCTCTGAAGTCCTGTTTGGACTTTAGGGTTTATTTCAGGTTTCAGTTGCTGTTTGGTTCCATTTACGCTCTGAAACTGTTCAAGAAATGAACGTCTGCTTCTGGACAGATCATCACAACGTTTCTAAAAAACTTAAAAAAAGAAAATAAAATGTTTGTGAAGCTTCAGAAACCAAATAACGCTCTAAAAATATTGATTTTGAAAAAATCTCCTCACTTTCTAACATTTGTCTTTACTGGCAAAGATTTAAAATGTCTCCGCTTTGTACAAAATCATTTTAAAAAGCGTCTCACTTTCTAAAATCTACAAACGTCTTCATCGCTGTACTTTGTTCATTTTTTATAAAATGTCTTT